GGAAAAGTTTGGCTGCAGTTAACTATAATTTGCTAGTTTTGCATTTACACTCAGTTTTTTTTCTCTTGTTACTTAAAATATAACAAAATGGGGACAAGCACCTCTGCCTTAGTGTAATTAAAAATAAAATTATGTCAGGAACATCTGTTTTCAAAAGGGATTTCTATTTGTTTTATCACCAAAAGGTGGCGTCCTACCCCCATGCCCTTTATTTAAAAACCCTTCTTGCTTTAATTTAACAAAAAGAAACTTCCAGTTGATTACTGATAAAGAAATTAAAATCTGCTCCCCACGAATGTAACGTGACAGTGTTGAAAATGAACAATATGTTAAGCTACAGTTAAATTTCCTTCTAATGTAAACCAAATGGACATCAAGTTCTTTAATAAGGCAGCACATTAGACAGTATCATATACAAAACTGAGTACAATATATCATGGGATTTACAACCAGGATTTCCTTTTGTCTGCAAAACTTGTTGCTAACCTGACTTTGGCCCCTCCTTACAAGTGAATGTAGAATTTAAGGCAATTAAAATGCAGAATAAGATTAGCGACAATGTAAAGATCTTTTTAGTATGGCAGTGATAATAATTTTTAATAAACACACTGCTTAATCTGAAAAACAAGATCGGAGGATGAACTGTTCTTTACAGACTACGAATAGATATGTCCACAGTTAAATAACTTTTTATTCCCCTGAGTTATAATTCTACAATCAGGCATATACCATAAACATGTTATATTTGGCATAGAAATTAAAAAACATTTTTAATAGGTTGACTACTACAGACCCAGTAGACTGGTTACTTCGTAGATTCCCATTTAATTCCATGTGAATTCAGCATATGGAATTTCCAGTGATGTCAAAGGTTGTTGGCAGTATTAACTGAGTTGACATAAAGCTTTTAGATCAGTGCCTAGGTCATAGTAAGCGTTTAATAAATGTTAGATGTTATTACTGACAGCTGCAGACTGCGAGCTCCTCAAGGGCAGGAATTTTATTTATTTTTTTATTCCCTCTGTGCCCACTTTGTGGTCTAGAACACAATGGGTATGTCATTAATGTCTTTATGTCTTGACAAACAAGACATTGAACTCTAGTCTCTAGGAAGCTAGGACATTCTACACAAGCTAAAATGCCTTTTATTTGTCTAGATTCTAGTCTCAGAGATTCAGTGAACAGTCCTGTCTGGATAGCATGGAACTTTGTGCAGCATGCATGCGATGTGAATTCTCCCAGGCTGGAATTACCTTAGCTGCCTCCCTTTCTCTGGCTGTATTCTGTAGCATCAGCGAATGGCTTTGTTATTTTTTTCAAAAGTTGCAAAAACAGATACAGTTTTAAAGTGATAGTCTTATGCTACCCTTGAAATTGAGATTTAAATTCTTCTGTAAATGAATGTTTAACAGTATTTGTAAAGGGGCATTATCCAAAAGAATTTATAATCACCTTTTCAGGATATTATCTACAACTGTGCTGGTCTCAAGACCAAAGGGACAGTAAGCCTCTCCTGTCCCCACGACGGGAAGTACTTTGTAGGGATCCACAGGGGTGACTTTTAATATATTCTTATGAAGAACTGGTCTGGTGTACACCATCCAGCCAGTAGCTGGAAATACTGGTTTGGGAGTCTGGCCTCTTCTGAGGTGATGGGTGTGAAAAAATTTATTTCTGTTAGCAACAACAAAAAGACAGAGGTCTTACAGCTTTCCAAGTCACGTTTTAGAAACAAATACTCTGCTCCCTTCTCTGTTCGTATTGATAAAAGTGAAAGAAATACTAGGGTCTTCTGTTTTACATATATATATATATAACATTTGATATATATAAATCATTTTGATATATATATATATATATATCAAAACATTTCATTCAGGATCCTAATTTATTCCTTCGAATTTCTAAATTCAACCAAACTTCAAAACCGCAAAAAGAAAAAAAAGAATCTCACCTTTTCAAAGAATTGGACAAAGCTTTTTGCACGTGACTGATCACTGGGAGAGCAGGTAATTTGTGTTAAACAACGGACTGACATGCTAGCCCCCAGGCGTTTTCCTAAGAGGAGCCCTGGGAAGAACACAGTTCCTGATGCAGCCACTTTCCCCCAAAGGGGACTCGACTGCACATTCCTGCAGTGACTCTGACGAGGAAGGGGGCAGAAGCTCTTCCCACATTCACACTCTCCTGACTTCGAGAAACAGGGGAGCAAACCCCTCGCTGGCTGGCGGGGTTTCTGTTTCCTTGCAAACAGAGGTTTGTCCTTCTGCTGAACTTTCACCTTCCGAACTCGCCTTCTTTCATTGGACAAAGTGCAGAAAGAAAAGAGGAGAGACCGAGGGAGGACGGGAGAGAAGGAGAAAGGGGGTTGAAAACCACCTCCCACCTCCCTCTCCTTCAACTGTCACTGATGGCAAAACACTTTCACTTTTAACTGGAGGAAACTCACATCCTAGCCTGTCCTCTCCCCTGCCTCTCATATTTTTAGCTCAGAATCCAAGCAAATAGCCATTGCATTCCCATCTTCGTCCCTAGTTGTTAACACTCTCCCTTCTCGTTTTTTCCCGCTGTCTGAAGGGGCCCCCCTTTTCCCATCTCCTGAGGAATCCCCCCTCCCGCCCCCAAGCCCCTTATTTTCCAGGTCTTTCCTGCCAGATCCCTCTGTTGCCAGGGACTGCTCAGGCGTTCCCTTCCTCTCTCTGGTCCGCGGAGCTCTGCCTCCCTCTCCTCCTCCCAATCCAGCCTGGACGCCCCTCTCTTCCCCCTCCCTGGATCCCTCCCCACAGTCCCCCCGCCCCATTCTTTGGCAATTGCGATTTTTTTTTTTTTCTGGGAGCCCGGTTGTTTACCCAGCAGGTGGATGTGACGTCAGGGACGCACAACAGCAAAAAATAACAACATCTCCCTCCGCGACGTGTTGGCCTCTCTCGCGCGCCTTATTTATTTATTTGTTCCGGGATGTAGCGGGGGGAGGGGGTGGGCGCCAGCGCCCCGGCCAACGGCAAAGAGGGGACCGCTCGCGCTTGGGAGCGCCGCTGGGGCGTCCGGCGGGGTGCGTGAGGCGGGGAGGGGACCCCAGCGGGAGGCCGGGGGTCGGCCGGGGGGCGCCCCCGGCCGGTGCTACCCGCGCCTCTGCCGCCGCCGCCGCCGCCACCGGCGCTGGCTGGGCTCCGGGAAGCTAGTCCGGAGCGGAGGAATCTATTGTTATTTATTGTGTGGCGGTTGCACGCTGTACTCGCGGCGGCCCGGCCCTCGCCCGGGAGTGCGTGTGTGCGCGCGTGTGTGCGCGAGTGAGTGTGTGCCCGGGGTGCGCGCGCGGGCGGGAGTGGGCGCGCGCGGGGAAAGGCCCGAAAACACCTTAGTTTGCACCGAGAGACCATTTGCAGCGGGTGAGTTTGTATTTTTCCATTTCTGCTCCACTTTTTCCCAAGCCGCCTCCTGTCTTGTTTCCGCCACTTTAAACAACAACAACAACCAGCAGAAAAAAAAAAGAAAGAAAAAGAAAAAAATGGAAAAAAAAAAAAAACTACTTTCCACCTCCAGGCTCCACGTGCATCTCCCCCAGCCCTCCCCTCTCTTCCTCTCCCCCCAGGGTCGGGGCCCAGCTCTGGGATGGGTGGGGGCTGCGGGCCGGCGCGCGGGTGGAGGGAGCTCCGAGGGAGCTCCGGCGGCGCCCGCACCCTTTGGGTTTATTTGCATAAGTCAAATGGGGGCGGGGGCGACTGCGAGGAGGCAAGATCGCCTCCCCCTAGGCCCCTTCACGCCTCACTCAGCGCTCTCCACGATCGCCTGGGGGAGAGAAATCAATAAGTCCAGGCCGAACGGCTCAACTTTCGATGCCCGGCGTTGGCGTCCGGTAGCAGCCCGGGAGTAGGGCCGGTGTGCGGTCCCGGGTCCTGGCCGCGGCGGGAGGGGGCCCATGCCCAGCGCCTCCTAGGCCCAAAGTTTAGACTTGGAGCAAACTTTTCCCCTTCCTTCTCCGCGGGTGTGTGCCCCCTCGGTGCCCTTGAGCTGCCCCGCGGGCCCCAGCAGACTGACTGTGGCGTCTGGCCCTGGGCCCGGCGCTGGGGAACTTCCCCGCTGCCACGCGCGCATTGCTCTGAGAGTCAGTGGCGAGGAAGCTCTCCCGCCACCCCCTCAGAGCCCGGAAAATTCAAACACGCACCTGCGCACCCCCAGCCAGACACGCACCCCCACGCGCGCTCGGTCCCAGCTTTCCCGAGACGCGTCCGCAACAGCCATGGCCAGATCCACGGGTGGGTGCGGGAGCCGGATGCGCTGCGAGTAGTCGCGGCGCCGGATCCCTCTCCTTCCATCACACACATTTTCTGATTTTATCACCCTCTGAAGATTGGAGATCGGGGGAATTTCCCAAGCTCCGATCTGTCCTGCGACGCGCCTGTGTCGCCTCGTCCCTCCAGCCCAGTCCTGGCAGCGGATGGCTCTCCGTCCCTCGTTTGCGCTTTGCCTTCCTCCTGAGCTCCCCGCGCTCTATTCCTGTCCCGCCGAGACGACTCCCCGGAGCCAGCGAGCCGAGGCGGTGTGCGCTTCGGGTGGGGACCACGGCGGTGGTGGCGGCGCCGGGTGCCGGAGTTTGCCAGTTGCCGCGGGGTCGCGGTCATTTGCTGCCTCCGCCTCCCCTCGCCCCCGCCTCCCGCCTCCCTCCTATTCAGACAACGTCGCGCTCGGAAACTTAGATTCCTTCTCCTTTTTGGCCCTGGACGAGCCCCCCTCCCCACCTGTTGTGAGCTCCGCCTTGGTCCCGAGAGACTGGCAGTGACACGCGCGGGCGCCGGGGAGCTCTGCGCCCAGAAACAAAGTCGCATGCCCCCTCCCAAGTGTTTGCTTCGAAATTGCTGCCTGCAGCCCCCACCATTCCCGCGCAGCTCCCGCCCCCTGTGAGAATAAGGACTAAATAAACAGTTGTAACTCCAAACCTTGCACCCCGCGATCGTATCCCCATCCCACCCCCTTCCCCCTATTCCTCCCCCCTCCTTTTTGTTGTTGCAACTTTGTGAGATCCTGGGGAAGGTGCTGAGACTTTGGCTCGGGCCGGTTTCCCGGTCTCGAGATCCTTGCAGGGATTCCCTGAGCCGCATCCTCTCTTCCCTCAGTGCGCGGGTCCTCGGAGCCCGCTGCCCTCTCTGTCCTGGCCCCTCGGCCTACTCACCCGTCCCGTCCCCTTCAGTTGCCCCCTGCCTGCACGGGGAAGGCTTGCTGAGGGTCGCCCCGGTTTCTTGTCGACTGCAGAACCCGAAAGTTTGCAAGAGAAAGAGAGCGCGCGGCGAGCGAGCGGGCCGGGGGCAGCGGCAGCGGCAGCGGCACCGGGGACCATGGTGCTGCCGGCGCCTCCTCCGCGGGCGTGAAGGCGGCGCTCCCACTTCCTCCCCGGACTCCGCGGGTAAGTCGAGGCGGCCGCGGGGCACGGGGGCCAGGGACACCGGAGAGCCCAGGGCAGCGCCGTGGGTTCTCCGTCCCCAAACAGCCAGCCGGGGCGGCGCGAGCCTAGCGATAAGGCGCCGGGAGCGAGGAATGTGCCCATCCTCAGGCCGGTAGGTGCTTCGAAATACTGGACTTTCCCCCTCCCCTTTTTTGCTCTCTTTCTTTCCTAAATCCGAAAACCTGGAGATCAAAGTTTAGCGTGGAGTATAAAGTGCTCCGATAAAATATGGTGACATCCTCGCCCCGCTTCTCACCCCACTCCCCTCTTATAACTATTAATTATTTCCAAGTCATTGTGTCCAAATACCCTTGCTGGGCTGATTACAAAGTGTATTGATTTAGTCTGGGTTCATCCTATGCTTCTGTCTTAATTCATTTTCTTTTTGCTGGACCAAAAGACCCAAAATGAAACTTATTTCTTCCTCTTCCCTACGTCCCCACCCCCCAGGCCCTCATCTGTGAGGCTTGGGCAGAATAATGAAATTAATATAAACATTTCATCTGGTTGCATTTGACTTCTCCAGTCCACTTCTGAGGGGCTGGGATTGCGCTCCTGTCTGCTCACAGGTATTTTCCAAGTTAGCATTTTCTTTTTGTTACTGCTCTTTAAACAGGAATGCTGGAGGAGCATTCTGGATTCCCTTTGAAAGGCGTCTGTACATTCAAATCGACTACACTTCACCACTGGTTGTACGTAGACTTGAGGGTTTAGGACTTGGACAATAGCTGAATTGAGAAGACCTCAAGGATATTTAAAGGAATTTTACTACTACTGAAAATATATTGAAGAATCGCTGCAAAATTTTTCCACTCCATCCCTTTTCCCCCCACCCCCATTTCTCCACAGCGAGAATCAGTTTGGAGGGAGATGTGTAAACTAGAATTTGAAAAGAAATAGTAAGACTTCAGGTGTTTTCTACCCAGGGATAGCCTACATAATTGAGATAGAGGAGTTCCTGCTATTTTTCTGTTCCAGAGAGAAATGTATCAAATCTTTTTTAGAATTCCACTGGAGTTTTGATTCTCAAAGTGGAAATACCCATCCCTTTGGGTCCAGGAAAAGAAGACTGGGCTCACAGTTTCAGAAATTTGAAAATTTTTTTTCCCACTCTCTATTTGAAACGTCTCACAATTAAAGAGCAAGAAAAATATAAAAAAAGGAACTCAACTAGTTACCATTCAAAAGGTGTCAGCTAAAATCTCACAGCAGAGAGGCAGGAAAAAAAGGGTTGAACATCTTGCCACTGGCTGCATCCCCCACCCCCCTTAGACTTTGTATTAGTCATTGTATGAGAGAGAGAGAGAAAAAAAAAATCATTTTTTTTTTTTTTTTTGGAAAAGTAAAGTAAACAGCCTCCAAACTGCTGAACCTTGACAACCCAAATTAAGGAAACAGGAGAGATCAAACAGAACTGCTGCTGGGTGGTTGTCAGGAGCTGCTACACGGAGAACCCTGGACTATTCGATCAAGCAGCAAGGCTGTATGTTCACTTATGCAGAAATGGACCATTGCAAATGCTAATCTTTGTTGTGCAAGCGAAGGCTCACTTGGAAGGAAATACTCAGCCCCTCTCTGAGCAGCATTTGAGTTCCTTATGGATGCCGAGTCGCTAAACAAATTTATTTTTTTTAATGCATCCATCTTTATGAGGAGAATGCCACCCAAAAATGTATTAAAGGAATATTAAGTCGTCCAGAGGCTGTCTTGCTACCAAGAATTGTGCAGTGGAATTCTTTTTACCAACATTAGACTCCTACACTAGAGTTAGATAACGTTTTCTCACATCGAGTTTAGAAGATCTGCCTTGTCAGGGAAGCCAAGGTTTTGTATGTGAAGGTTTAAATCAGATGTGAAGCTCACAAAAAAAAAAAAAAAAAAAAAAAAAAAAAAATCCCTGGTGATGAAGTTTTGTGTCAGCCCACTCTTGGAATTTAAAAAGGCGAGAGAGAGCACTCTCCAGATTAGACATAACCTCTTTTTTTAGATTGACATTCAACATGACCACGTTGCTACTTTTATTCAAGTTCCCTGTAACTTGTCCTTGCTTGTTGTCTAGGAAAATTTAACTGCTTTACATTTTTAAAGGGAGTAGTAACAGTAATTACTGTAGCATTTTGTTTTCACAGGTTTATCAAAGTATAATGAAAGAAACATCAACTATTCAAATTAACTGTCTCAAATAAGGGGTTTATATTGCTGGAGATGTCTGTAAGATTTTGTGTTTATATTTAAATCCTGGAGTATAAACTGTAACACTCTTTTTTATTTTTATTTTTCTGGTCTAAACTATCCCCAAATTAAATGTCATTTTAAATTAAGTAGAACAAATTAGGAAGTAGGATAAGTAAACACACACAGAAGAATAAAAATACTTGTCATTTAAGGATTATATTTTTAATTAACGAGTGTCGGTCACATAGTAAGCAGTTTATATATTTTTTATAAGCCAGAGTTTCATAACCATGGTGCACAACATGTTTCAAAGTCTAGTTTTTACTGGATATACCTTTATTGTATAATTAAGCAATGTGAGTTTAACATACACATGGATGCTATTAGGCAATTTTCTGCAGTATGTAATGTTTTGAAAAAGCTATAAATATTTTCTAGTTAAATCATTTGTACGTATAATAGCAACAGTTAACTGAGTTAGTATTGAGCCTAGCCATGGTTTGCTGTTACTGAATTTTTCTTTGCCTTTTTAAAGACTATACCCCTGGCCTTGTAAATTTGCATCTTAGGTTCTGTCGAAGGGTATGTCTGTTTTCAGCAGTTGTTTAAATTAACAGAAGAATTGTGATATTTTTCAAATATATTTATATCACAGCAAGTCCAATGCCAAAATTAGGAAAGAGAAGGAATATAGCAGATGTGACAACTTCTTTTGAACCCAGCTTCCTCTTTGCAGCCAATCTTATTGTGCATATTTATTTGGTTTTCATGTTTTACTTATGACTCAAACTCAGTTTTGAAACGCTATCTTCTAAGATTCCGCATCTCAAAAAGTATGTATATTTAGACAAGGTTAGGTGTTATAGAACCTATCACATTTCAGTAGGAATGCCAAGAATATTTGAAGGGTAGAGCAAGAATTTTGTCCTTTAAAAATAATTTTAGATAGACATTAATAAAACTTAAGTAGATTGCAGGCTGTCAGAAAATAGTATAAATTTTGTTTATGATTCAGTTACTTTAAGGTACTTACGTTAAAGAAACTCATTTAACCCCTGACTGAAGAGCATTAAGTGGGGAGGAGAACCCTCCAAAGAGCTCCCACTGCCCTTTGCTCTCCGATAATCTTAAATTACTACAGTTTAATTGCAACTTCAAGGCATTCAGTATGAGCTGTTTCTCCAGGACTGAGAAAGGGTTTCCAGAGCATGGTTAGATTTACATACGTGGTATATTTGTTTTGTTTTGTTTTTAATTTTTAATTAATTAATTAATTTTTTGCTAAGGGCTTTTCCTTTCCTCCTTATCCTGTTAGATATCACACTTCTTTTCTAGATTTCAGTCACAGTAAATGCCATGTTTGCTATACCAGCAATATTGACCTTTTTTTTCCTTTTTAAATGTATTTTTTTTTAAAATCTAGAGTATATAAAGCTGTCAAGCAGGTAGAGGTTTGTTTTCTAAAGAAAATACCTTCAAGAAAGGCATCTGCTGAATAGACAGGTGAACTTTATACTATACCTGAGCCAACATACACTTTTTAGTATTTGCAGGGGATTTTTTTTTTTTTTTCTTTTTAAGTTGATGGTAGTTAGTCCCACCAGGTGATCAAACACTGAGTTTGTGAGACAAGCCAGCAAGCCAAGTAAGTTTGCACTTGGGCTCATGCGTTTTCTGAATGATCTTTCTTGTGATTTGTTACTCTACTCTGCGGGCCACTTTGCTGTACAATATGCTGTACAAGGAACCATCTTAAACTGATTTTTCAACATATTTCTCTTCTACATTACTTGGATGAATTAAGGTTAAAGGCACCAATAGCTGGAATACCAGCAGGCCATGAGATGAGACGAGTTCATGAAACAAGGGCAAACCTGGTGAAATTTGGGTTATATCTTCTGCATAATAGTTTTTTTATTTTTTATTTTTTTTCCTGGGACGTTTGTAGTTTATTTCAATGTGCGTGTGACCATGTGCTTAATGGAAATTAAGCAGATTTGGCTTGTGTCACCAACCTAAAAATAAATGTTGTAAGGAATGTTTGATTTCTAGAAGTGTTTTGGTTTTGCATCCCATGGATAATGTTCTTGCAATTAGGGCTTCGAGGCTGGTATTCTGCAAAGAGGAAGTACAGTGGGGGAAAGTACATGGCAGTCTGGAAAGACAATTAGACAGTGTTCTTTGTTTCTGTAATAAATTATTCTTATTAATTACAGTCAGTTTGTGCTAAGGCATTTTTCAAGCCTTGTTTAGAAGTCAGCTCCATTCACAAGAAGGTTGTGCCAGAAGCTATGTTCTTCGCACTGTTGTTTTACCCACTCATGAAATCTATTGACCAGATTGGCTTGTGGATGTCCCTGCAAGGCTTGTATTTCTTTTTGCAAGCCCCTGATGCCAGTCTTTAATACATTCCCTGCCTTGTACACAACAGGTGTTTGTTCGGTAGTTATTTTATGGGACTTAGAGTGAGAAAAAAATGTTTCCTACCTAGCCAGCCACTGAGAGAACCAGCTGCCTAAAAGGAAGAACCTAGTACCTGAACAGGTGTAAATGGATGTTTCCTTATGACCCTCCCCAAGCTGTTTTGTTTAAAAAGAAGGGGAGGGGGGCTCAGTTTAGTGCCATGAAATTTACAATTCAGTTGTAATAATTTAAGATTATTGGGAGAGTGCAAAGGGCAATGGGAGCTTTTTAGTGGTTTGGCCTTGGTGCTTAAAGCCGCTCAGTTGTAGGGTTAAATTAGTTCCTTCCATCTGAGTACTTAAAGTAACTAAATCATAAACAAA